TCTCAGTCCATCACATGGACACCTGGACAGGTCTCAGTCCATCACATTGACACCTGGACAGGTCTCAGTCCATCACAGGGACACATAGAGACAAACGAGACAAACAACCCTTCGCTCTCTCTCCTTGGGACAATTTACAGTCACCAGTCAGCCTAACATGCATGTTTTTGGTCTGTGGGAGGAAACCGGAGTACCTGGAGGAAACCCACGCATGCACGGAGAGAACATGCAAACTCCACCCAGGAAGTCCCCCGGCCAGGATTTGAACCATGCAGGGACCTTCTAGCTGAGATTCAATGACTAACAACTGTTCCACCACATGCAGTTTATTTATTTTTTTTTTAATTTGAGAAGGTTTTGCAGAAATTCTTGAGAACAAGTTCAAAGTTCAGCAGGACTGCAGGTTTCTATGACTTTTGGAAGAAATGGAGAACTTTGTAACCAGCCTCCAGCAGCCGCTGTAGATTAGAAAGTCTTCCTTCCGTGTTCCAGGATAAGTTAGTGTTTCCTCTGTGACATCTCCTACACTGATTTGGTTGGTGTTTGTGGTGGTGCGGGCCGATCTGTGTGGAGACGGCCCCATGAAACAACCCTGCCTTGTAACAAAGCCACAATAACTCTTCTGTGTGAAACATGTAAGGCAGGACCTCCTACACCCGAGTTTCATCTACGTCTGCTCCACCTACTGCCTCTGCCTGTACGCAGACAATGTGCGCTTGTATGTGTGTGTGTTTGTGTGTAAATATGTTCCTCCTACTGAGCTGTGTGTGTGTTGTGTCCTGTGTGGGCAACACATTAAGATTTTTCAGACAAACAATGGAGTGATGTGGAGAAGATGAGGAGCATCATTTAAAGGCACTCTGGAGAGAATGAAGCTAAAGAACATCCTCCGTCTCCACCTTTCCTCTTCTTTATCCAGTTCACATCCAGACCTGCCGGGCTCTGATGGTGGTGTCGGTGCTGCTGGGCTTCATCGGCATCATAGTCAGCGTGGTGGGCATGAAGTGCACCAAGGTGGGAGATAACAACCCGTCCACCAAGTCCCGTATAGCTGTGACCGGAGGAGCCCTGTTCCTGCTTGCAGGTACATCTGCTCATCTTGCCTTGATGCCTTCTAGGAGCACAGACACGCAGAATCTCCTAACATTTAGCGAGCATCTCACATTTTTTAGCTCGGAAGTTCGAGTCCCTGCTGTAAACAGGAAGTGGTCATTTTAGCTGCTGACCTCAGATGTAAACAGACCTGATCCCAGAGGAGACGATAACGTGAACTGGAGAAACTTTCTGTGAGCGCTGCCTGCTGAAAGTGAGCTGGTCCGTTTACAACTACTGAACAAAAAGTCAAGATAAAAACTAAAACGAGCAAAAAGAACAGCAGCTAACAGCTAAAAATGAAGCACATGTTTTAAATACTTCTGAGGGCTACGTATTTCAAGGATTTGAAGCAAGTGAAAACGTTAAATGTGTAACTGTTGTAAAACTACTCAGAACTGTAAAGTGTTGATCAACTTTAGATGTGCAGTGTTTATAGAACCCAGAAGGCTCCGGTCAGTCGTAGCTCCACCTGCAGCCTGACTCATGGGGAGATGACGCTCTTGCTCCTTCCTCCGTAGGTCTGTGCACGCTGGTGTCCGTGTCCTGGTACGCCACGCAAGTGTCCTATCAGTTCTTCAACCCAAACACACCACCCAACGCCAGGTATGCGCTTTGTTTTCTGCTACACTCTTTCCTTTTTACTTCCCATCGCTGAAGAAGGCGACCCTGTTTGCCTGTTAGCAAAATATTTGATAAATCACTAGATTTGATTAAAACTGGCAGAAAGTAACTAATGACTGCACGTCTACAACGTTCACCACTGAAGTTCCCTCAATTCACGATGGCCACCACAGTTACTCGACATTAGCTAACACGAAAACGACTGGATTTGACGTTGAGCTAAACGTTGGCGTGGTCGTAGCTGACAGTAATTCACAACACGCAGGTCACAGTTCAGCATGTTTCTGATACTTGTTAAGGACTCGGGCCACACCGGGCCGAGACCTGGCTATGGTACTCACAGGGTCCAACTGAGGTCTTCAGGAGCTTATTAACCCACCATTAAAATCATTGTTGAAAATTCATGTTGGATAAAAACATCTGTTCATCTTGCTTGAAGAAGCCACACTCGAGGACACGAGAAGATTTTTAAACGGTTCTATTTTCAAGGGCAGGTTTTCACCACAGGTTCATTACACCTGTGCTGAAGTTCTACAGGCACCGAGTCCAGTCAGGAGAATCTGCAGCGTGCGAGAATTGTTTTTATAAACTTATCAGCTCTCACAGCTCCCGATGACCTCGGCCATCCAGCTGCACATGCAGGATCAAATCAGCTCTCCGAGAGAGAAAAGAACTCTCTGCTAACTCAAACACACGGTTCATGGACAGTTATTCTCAGCCACAGTAGTTAAGAAGCATCTGTAAACCTTGACCAAAACTCCCTGACAATTGACGTCTTGATCACATTTTGTTGGAATAAAATAAAAAAGCTTGTTTAATTTATCCAAGTCAGTTAAAGCAAAATACAAACCAGAAACTCCTTTAGTTCCCAAATGGACACAGAACAGTGTAGAACAAAATATTTAGTTTCTTTTAGGTTTTTTGGGAGTCTTTTGTCGTTTGAAGAGCGATCATGGATCAATGTGTAATTACATGGCAGCTCTTTGAATTCTCCGTGGCTCAAAGGTTTAGGCGCCTCAATGGTCATGTGATTATTTCATGCCACACCCGTACAGTGTCCCTGCCACAGGTTTCACATCTGCTCAACGTTGTTTCTATAATCCTGGCATGATCTGCAGGATTGATCTCTATTTATTGGAGCTTTCTCGGTCTCCAGCATCCAAGAGGAAACACCATTAGCAACACGTGAAGGTGCAAGTGCAGTTTTCTGTGCAGACCTTTGACCCCATCCATGTTTCTTCCGGACTCCTCAACAGGCCCGGCCATGATGACGACGCAGGTTCTAGCATTGAATTTAAAAAAAGAGTGAGACACGGTGGAGCGCAGCAGAGCAGCAGGATGTGGTGCAGCTTTCAGCGTTGCAGTGATTCATTTGGAGCAGCCTTCACACCTTACTATGAATATTTAGTGTATGCTCCAAACCAAGCTGGACTCTTCAACCCTAATCAGATGTTATGGAGAGCCCACGCACCTGCAAAGATCGTGAAAAGACCCCGTCTGGTTTCTAACACCATACTGCCATCAATGTTCAGGGAGAAGAGAACTTTAAACAAGATGTGGCAGCTGCTGCACATAGATGACACTTTGGTTTTGATTGTTAATATTCATTAAAAAGAATAAAACGATGTCATTTAGCACAAACATGTCAGCTCTTTACAGAAAACCACTGATGGTTCCAGCTTCTTTAAACAGTGTCTGTCTCAGAGAGAGGAGGATTAGAAATTAGAAATCCTCTCCGTCTGTCCATCCTTGTTGTGAGCATGATAAAAAATCATGTGACTTACCAACTTCCATTCTGGTATGTGGTTGCATCAAGGCGTAAAAAAGTTGCATTTTGAATATTGGGTTACCGCATCAAAATCCAAGATGGCCACCTGTATGTGTGTGTGTAAACAGACCACCAGAATCGTGTGAGGAAACTTCACCTACTAGTTTTTATTTGCTAAAGGTATAGTTTCCTCAAATGATTGGAGTGGCTGAAAATTAAATGATGGTAGTCACGGCCCCCACTGGCCACCCCCTGACTCCTCCTCTGCACCTGGTGGTGGATAAAATGGCTCCCTCCTCTCCAGGATCCATCACTCTGCTCTGCCTCAGACAAAACACCCAAACTAAAGCCTCCCTCTGTTCTTCTGCACGGTGTAACACTGTAACTCGTCCCACTTGAACATCTCGCACTAAAAACATTTAGGTTTACATTCTCTGTTCAGTGACAGTCCAGAAAAACACTCATCTCCAAAACGACAAACAGTCACTATTTAAATCCCTCAGAGACGGGACGTCAGCGTACAACTTGTTCTCATGGGCTCGTTTTAACTTTGCTTCTTGCAACTAGAGGCCAGAGCGACACTAAAATCTGTGGAAGGATTAACAGATTATTGAGATTAAAAAACAACTGTTATGTCAGATATATCGTGTGTGCACGTTGATAGTGTTTTCTAACTCGGTGTGTCTCTTCCCAGTCAGTTTAGTCAGTTAAGTGAAAAGAGCTGGACATGTGCCTGACTGTAACGTCTTTGTCTTCCTGCTCAGGTACGAGTTCGGCTCGGCCTTGTTCGTGGGCTGGGCCGCGGCCAGTCTGACCATACTGGGTGGCTCCTTGCTGTGCTGCTCCTGCTCCAAAGAAGAAATGCGAGGGCAGCAATATTACCGCCAATCACAGCCTTCCACAGCCAGGGAGTACGTGTAACCCCCCCTCCACAGCAGTCATGCAAACAGAGAGCGGGGGACATACTTGGCACCTCCTGTGTTTTCTTTCAGACCATCACGTGCACACACCCAGCACCCGTACACTCTCACTCACAAACAAGACACATTGACCACCAGCAGTTCTGCAGCTCTGAGCTGCAAACGGTGAGAGGAAGCCACGCTTCATTTCCATCAGTCTTCAGCTCCCTCCAGTCACTCTTGTAGCGTGACAGAGTGGGCCTTAGCGACTTCACAACGTTTCAAATCGGTGCTGGGGCAGAAAGAATCACAGCGTTCGTCTCGTTGTGTGCTGCAGCCACCTTTATGCAAAACAATAAAACAGAAGTTTTCATTTACATGCTCTCAAAGTTTCTGCTGCAAGATTCAAGCAGGTGAGTCCGGTTGTCTTCTGTCCAAAGTGTTGACGTTACCTGAGTGAAGTTACCACCCCCCCCCCCAAATCTAACAAAACTGGTGTCAAACGTTTGTGCTGGTTTATGCAGCAACTTTTTTGTTTGTGCCGCTATCGTTTTAAAGAAGTTAATAAAAAAGTTTCCAGGGATCATCAGAGGTCGACCAGACTTCCACTTTTACAAAAAAAAGGTTTCAACTCTGTTCGTGCTGCTGCTCTGAACATACAAATGAAAGGTTAAAGGTAAATAGGTCAACCAGCCCCTCTGCCCACCCCCGACCCCGACCCATCTTACCAAATGAAATTCACAGTTCCAACAGATTTTCATTGACCTTTGATGACCTCTGGAAACTTGTTTAATTAATATCTTTAAAATTATAGCGGCACAAACGAAAATGTTTACTGCACAAACGTTCAACCCCAATTTTGTTGGATTTGAGTAATTGGGGGGGGGTTTGACCTTTTGACTTTAAAACTTTCATTAATATCATTAAAGCAGAAGCAGCAGAAACGTTTGACACCAATTTCATTAGATTAGAAGAAGGTGTGTGTGTGTGTGTGTGCGTGTGTTGGGGGGGGGAGCAGCTTCACTCAGGTGTTGACGTCATCTCACTGGCCTGGGACGAACAGGTTTCGTGAGGGGGTCTCCAGAACGTGCTGAAACATTCAGGGGGCGTGCACGAGACGCTCGCACTCTTAACTTCCCTCAGAACATTTCCAGAGTCGTCTTGAAGACATCGCAGTTGATTCATTCTGAAGGTGCTGGAGTCGTGTTTTCAGTGTGAACTGCCACCGTTTCTGACATGAAACAGACATAAATTTGTAAATTGACACTTTTTTCATTATTTGCACTTTCAAAATAAAATGTGCATGGCGGTGTTTGTGAAAAACAAAACACTGACAAATCACCAGTGCGGTGCAGAAGCTTTGCCGTCTGCTCCGAGACTCCAGATGAGCTTTAACGCTCCACGCTGGTCCAAAGTCTAAAGCACGTGTCCAACTCAAGGCCCGGGGCCAAAAGCTCTTGTGTTTGACCGGAGACAAACGCAACTCCTCACGCCAGCATCGGTTGGAGCTGTGACCGTTGGACTCGAGTCAGTAACACAAAATGGTAGAAAACATTTTCAGGCGCCGTTTCACAGAATCCTCAAAGTTTGTAATTAGCAAGCTGCGCCGCCGGTTTTGGAAAACCAAGACTTCTTGTCGCACATCTTGCAAAAGTGTTTTCTAGGTCACAGCTTTTTTTTTCCTCATCCACATTGAACCCACCTCGCATTTCAGATTTAATCTACAATTTAAACATCAGGATCCACAGTATTTAAATAATCCCGGGTTGTTGGACGTGAACGTTTGGAGCTGTAGCCTCAGGTGTGTCCTCTGCACATGTCAACATGCAGAATTACAGAAGGCTCCAACAAGGTTTGAGACAACTTTGTAGCTATTTAGAAACATTTGAGGCACGTCTTTTTGAAGACGCTGAAAATTCAAGCTGCGGCCTCTGACTCACACAAGCCAAGAGCTCCCCTGAACGTTTGGAGACTCCGTCAGGAACTCTGTTCATCAACCAGTCTCTCATCGCCACGGCTCCGTAAGACACTAAATAATACCACAATGTTACTTTGAAGCTTTTATTAACAATACGACTTGTCAGGCATATAATTACTGTACACCGTGATGAGTTTGATAAAAACTATTGAAGCAGGTCAGATCGTCTGAGTGGCGCCTCCTGGGGGTCGGATGTCGTCTGTGGATGTACAGTGCATTGCTCTCACTCATCTGCTTCAATAAGAAGGTTTAACTGTTGAGGTGATCCGTCCTGTGTTCACTATTGAAATCATTATGAGTTAGAATCTATCGCTGCAGATGAACAAATTAAAACCTGAGCCCAACACAATAAAATCATAAGTCAGTATATTAGATGAAGCAACTGATGACTCAGAAGTTATTTCTTGCTGAAGTGATGACGTATTATCTCTGTGCCGCTGTCCGGAAGCCACTAATCTAATTTTTATCACCCCCTCTGTGTTTACAGAAGCAAACATAAAGATAAATCTGTATTTTTATCATTTCTGCGCAGTAGAACATGTTAGTTGTCACCAGCTGTTTGACATCGCTGCCAACCCAAAGTTCCTCCACTCTTTCACACTATTCAACATTATAATTCCAGATTTATACATTGCTACATCATACATTATGTGATTTATAGTTTTTGACAAGATTACAAGTCTTACTGCAAAAGACAATCTACTCTTCAAAGCATTTACAGTCTATTATGCTACAAAAGTTGTGACCTATTAGGAAGTTTAGACTAAACAGTAAAATAATGTATAAATTTGCTGTAGTAGTTGGTATTTTGACAAATATTGTCCAAGTGTGGACAGAGTAGGATACTTCCATGCAGCTGTTCCTCCATCAAAGAGAACAAGGCTAAGCTGCAGAGCCTAATTGGCTCTTGAGTTTCCGCTGTGCTTCCAAATCACTTTGGCTTCATTTGTGTTTTTAAAAGGCTGGTCCAGATAAAAAGCTCTTTGACTTTTTTCAGAATGGTCCCAGGTGCCTCTTTTCTTGTTTCTATAACAACTCTTCCTAGAAGACGTTTGTGAAGTGCCCTTTGATTCTTTAAATGGAGAAAGTTGACGGTCTACAGAAAATTCTTTTTTACCTTCTGAATAAAAGACAGAGCTCAACAGCAATCAGGAAATCTAACTTTTCAAAGTGCAACAATAGAAAAGAATGCATTTAAAATAACAGATAGATTTTTCTCACGTAAAAAGCAAAGACTTCTGGTAGCAACACACAGCACAGCCCAGTACTTAGTATGGCTTGGTCCTTACAGGGTACATGCCTTGTATTTGCTTGGTACCTACCCTATAAGTATCATGTAACAGGTAAATTCAATGTAACAAATTCAGCATGGTACCCATAGGTACCAGGTACATACCTGGAACATACCTAGTTAACACTAGGTACATACCATGAACATATATGGTTAATACCATGTATGTACCAGGAACATACCTGGTTAATACTAGGTATGTACCAGGAACATACCTGGTTAATACTAGGTGCATACCAGGAACATACCTGGTTAATACTAAGTACATACCAGGAACATACCAAGTCAATACCAGGTGTGTACCAGGTACATACCTGGTTAATGCCAAGTATGTACCAGTAATACACCTGGTTAATACTAAGTACTTACCAGGAACATACCTGGCTAACACCAGGAACATAGCTGGCTAATACTAAGTACTTACCAGGAACATACCTGGTTAATACTAAGTACTTACCAGGAACATACCTGATTAATACTAAGTACTTACCAGGAACATACCTGGTTAATACTAAGTACTTACCAGGAACATACC